AGGGCACTCTTTTTGCCGGGGTTTTGAACGGAAGCGAAAAGGGCACCACGCCAAAATCGGGGGGGGGGGGGGGTCCCCCGCTATCCAGAAGCTCCGACGCCTGGACGAGCAAGATGTAGCGCTTGCTACCAAACACCACGCTGAAGAGATGAACTAAGTTTGAAAACCTCGGCTGCTGTCTCGGGCGGACAAAGCCATTTGCACCTTTCCTGCAAGGTAACCTGAAAAAGCGCCAAAAGGAGATTCCTCTAAAGATAGGGCCTTGGGGTTTCATCTTTGCCTATAGAGGGGCAAGTGCCTTCCGCGACAGACCGAAGGCTGGGAATATGACAAACTTGAGAGTGGCCTTTGCTTGAGGCCCATAGGAAACCAGTTTTCTGTTTGGAAGGCGTCTATTCCCCAGCCAGAAGCTGAGAGCGGCACAACTCCCCCGTCTTCTTTCTGCTCATCAGGACGCCCAACTCGGTGGCCGCAGTTTCCAGACGGCTGGTTGATGCCGCGATATTCCGCGCCCGTGGCTTCCCATCAACAAGGCTGGTCGCGGTTCACCCATGAAACATATATATATATACATATAACATAATGATTGTCTCTTAAGCAAAGGGAAAGGATCGCAACTGCAGTTCGAGTCTGTTGTAACTTGGCCACTCACTGCTGGAAATGATGCATGCGGTTCCAGCCACCAGCGGAACTCTCAACTTCCATCTTCCGTAAGCAAAGCAATGACCAAAGCACATCCTCGATGTTCCACTGACGTCTCACAGAAAAGGGCCTCTCCAACTCTTTGGAATGGGCATGTTCGGATCCCAAGCGTTCTTTCCCGCAACTCCAGGAGTCCCAATGGCCACTGATTGCCTGCACCCGAGCCGATTCCCAACATGTGAGGTGCCCCAACGCCATCCCAAAGCTTCCATTAGATCCCTCCGTCCTTTGGTCACAAAAGCCGAGAATCCCAGAATGCTCCTTTGACCGCATGAGCTCAGCCTGCCCCCCCATAGGTGCGAACGGCCGCAGGCAAGTCACAAACTCATCGCCGTTGCGCATCGCGGTGCCGAGCGCCGTCATCAGCGATGGAAGGTTCTGGCAGCCCTGATCGGCGCTTGTGAAGACTGGCAACAAGACTTTGTGGACCCTGCGTCTCCCACATACAGCACGCTCCCCGCTCCCCCAATAGATACCAGGGTGCAGTTGAGCTACTTGACTTGTATGCGTACAATATATAAATATATACATACATATAATATAGAATATAAATATATATATATATATATATATCACATATTAATATGTGGCTGACAATTCGTGTTAGCCGGTCCAGACCACTTCTACGTAGTCAGTTTCAACTGCTGTGAATGACCGCCGCCTCTGCCATGAAGCAAAAAGGCTTGCCCAGAATCTCTGACCTGCACAGCAAAGCAGCCGGCAAATTGCCAGCTTTGTGTATCAAGGAACACGGTGGCCATTCCTCCCTCCACAAGACTGAACTGCCAACACAGTCGCTGGCATGGACATCCCAGCACAGCTGGCAATGCCAGGCTACTGAAGCATTGCGGGCAGATCGCAGGGCGTTCAGGATCGCTGGTTGTTGGGGATGCTTCTCGGGCTGAATTTGGTCCTCTCGGGTCCGACAACCTCAAGAAAACAGTTGTACACTCCTCGGGCCACAAAATAACGAGCCAGGGGGTCGGTGAGCCTGAACGCTTTGGGACAAGTTGGGGGGGGCACTGAGAGTGGAAGTTGCAGCCAAGAGGTCCAAACAAGCAATACCCCAAAAGGTGGTTGAGCTTGGGGGACATACTGTGGATGGACGAAATCCTGCACCGCTTGGAAACCATGGGAAACCATTGTTTATTTGGTAGTTACAAAGAAATTCATCATTCCAGGGTTCTTAGGTGGTGCAGGAGTTTGTCCATCCACAGTAGGAGAGGAGAGACGGGCTCGGCCTTTTCCAGCGGCTCAGCTCCTCGAAGCCATCCTGAGAATCGGCTCGTCTGGTCTGCTCTTCCCTACCCTCAAGATGCCAGAGATACTGGACGATGCCAATTTGTGGGATCCCGAAAGTGAGGAATGCCTCGTTTATTTTTACGGCCCAGGAATTCCTCCACTCTGGTGCTCAACCAAGTGAAGGAGTCAAGCCGTTGGGCAGCAGCTGCGGTCAGCACAAAATGCGTTTCTTCTGTGATGACATGGTACCAACATGAGCCCGCTTCGCCTGATTGCCTGCAGCTCACTCAGCAACATAGATTTGGGTCCAGCAGCCAAACACAAAACACTCTGCCCAACACGCTGAAAACGAGTTCATCGAGCTTGAAGAGTGAAACACACGTTGCGGAAGGAAGCATTTAAGAAGCAGCATCTCACGACATTCACCGCTTTCTCAGTGGGAAAAGCCGGAAAACGTCTAGGGCTCAATAGCCAAAACCCAAAGAAAGCCATGAGGCTCCGTCTTTTGGGCCTTCACAAGGGGTTCCATCCCTCTGTCACCCTGCTCAGGCGGCCAGTCCTTAAAATACAAGAGTGCCTGCCCCTCAATCCGCCGGCAACCCCTTTGTTTCTTGCAAGGCTCGGAGCAGCCCACTATGATGCAGTCTCCAAGATTGGGATCTGCTAGCCTCAGCCACCACAAAGATGCAGAAAGTGCCAAAATTCCAAATGAAAGTCACCAAGTCTGATGCTAGCGTCTGCCCCCATTCAAGCATCGGGGCAAGTGCACGTCGGGGGCAATCCCACGCTCGACCAGTTTCGGCATTTACGGCACATAGATTGCATTTGGTTTCTGGTCGTCTCTTCTTGGTCAACGAATAGGTCATTCTGGATCCTTTTTGCAGTTCTCCGACCCACGCGCGCAGTTGACGGGGAAGAAGTGAGGGCGATGGTTATACAGTGGTTTGGGCATCAAACATAAAGTCTCCTGGACTGACATGCGATGCATCGCCTGGTGACGCTGACACTAATGCTTAGAACAGGTTGGTATCAATAGAGCTGAGACTTGACATGCCCAGACAGCCAGTAGCATGTGCGCTTTGTTGCAGTTTGACAAATAGAAGAACACGTTCTGCGCCACATGTGATAGCCGAATACTCCCTACTGGCATCGTCTGCAATACTGACTTTGTGGAGCACCTGATGAACAAAACCAGTAAAGATGTAGACGCGGACACAAACAGCGACCCACAAAGAAACCGGAAAACATACAAACGCACGCAAAGATGAACAAGCAAACGAACGGAACAGAACAGACCCGAACGGAACCGAACGGAACAGAATGAACGAACGAACCAAACCACCAAACCACCAAACCACCAAACAAACAAACAAACAAACAAACAAACAAACAAATAAACAAATAAACAAACAAGCAAGCAAGACGCAAGCCAGCGAGCGAGCAAGCAAGCAAGCAAGCAAGCAGGCAAGCAAGCGAGCAAACAGGCAAGCAGGGCATGCAACGTTTTGTCTTAGCTTTGGGAAGCATCAATGGGGGGACCCTCTCACGCACTGCCACATCTCGAAACTGTTCGACGAGTTTCAGAGCAATGCTTCTTGGCCAGAGTTCCTTCGTTTTCGGTTTCAAAAAGCACGTCGTGCAGTCACCCAAATGCAATCGCCAGAAACCACACAATAAGCCGATCGTACACAGTTTGCTCTTCCAGCAATACGCCGGGCACGGGCAAGCTAAGGGAGCTGCACAACCGTGTGCTTGAGGCCGGACAAAGGGTTCGGCATTGCCTGGCCCTGCGCGCCACATTTTGCTCCCTGCCCAGTGCCATAAGGGCCCAGAATCAAAAGAGCCCCAAGTGGCCTAGGTTCGGAAGCAATGCCCAACCACATCTTTCAAAACGGAAGTGCATTTCAAGTTGCAGGCTTACGAGGGAAACTCGGTCTCAGGTTGTACAAATCATGGGCCGTGTTGTGCCGGCTCTAGGTGTCATCAGATTCGTGCTGGCTCTGGCAACCTGACAATGATAGCTCCGCGCCAACCCATGGCCTGCGACCCCTCATGTCAAGGTTTGGGGTGGGATCGGAAGGCCATAAAAATTGATCTCAACACCTTCCAAAAGATTGGCAGATCTGTCTCAAAAGCGCTTTCTTTTGAAAACCTCAAGGGTACCCTAAAACGACATATGTGACATACCCAAATACCCAATTTTCTCCTGAACTGCCCCACGGCAGCTCCCTGGCCTGCCCCTGCATTTGATTCATCTGCATTGGCCTTGCGAGGCCAAGGCTTTTAGAGGATATGGAATTGTTCATCCAGTGGTCTGTGTGATTAAGCAAACCCTGGCTGAGTATACTTGGTAGTAAAGCAACTCAGACCGAAGGCTGCTGACATGTACATTACCTTAGCCCTCAGTTTGTCCAGTTATTGCGTCAGCTGGCGTTGCCCAAACTTCTCGAGCTTCAATACGGCGTGTCTGTCTCGGCCATCCCCTAGTGCTCTTCTTGTCTCACTCACTGCGTGTACCCTTTGCAGTAGAATCAGTTGCCATGGCACTTCATGACCAATATGGTACAGTCAACATCCTCACAATGCTCCCTCGCCCACAAAGCAGTGCAAAGCAGCCCGGACGTCTCAGCTTTGTGGCCTGTCACTAAAATTCAGGCAAGGCGCCCCCGAGGATTCTGATTTTTGGATTGAAAAAGGCCGAAAACGTTTCGCCCATGCGGGAAGACCCGCGGGGCTTTCTCTCGGGTTGAAAGCTGACGGCGGCGGGCGGGATGAAGATGGTCCCACAAGTTGGGTCACGAAGGTCTACGAGACCTGCGAAGAAACTCCGAACCCCAAGGCAAGCGCTGCACTTCATGAAGCAAGGTCAAGGATGCATGCTCGAAGTGTGCATCGAACACCAGCGTTGGTCTGGAGGAAATGGGGAAGATAATTCTCTGCCATAGCGGTAATCCAAAATGGTCCTATTCAGGGCTGCTCGGGGGCTGCACGAAGCGAGGGGACACGCGAGACCTGAAATTGAGCCAATTCATCAAGTACGTTCGGCATGGGCCGACCATGAAGGTGTTGTGGAGGCAATGCTTGTCCAGCACCGTCATCGCTTTCCTGAGTTTGGTCGTCTTCTCAAAAACGTGGGATCAGCCCCTCTCCAAGGCATTAGCAAGGCCTTTCGAACTGACAATTTGGAGGCGACCATGGATTACAGTTGAAGCGCTCAGCGCAAGCATCGTCATTCATGCGGCATTGTATTCGTAGCTCCCCAAAACACACCTGTTTGTTGTCATTGTCCTCCCTATCCGTGTCAATGGCGTCCATCCTGTAAGCTCAGATACCGCGAGTTTGACTCCGGCCCACAAATCAAGGAAGCCCGCCCGAGCCAAGAAAGGTTGCCACTGGTTGCAGCTAAGGCAGCGGCGCCACGTCGTCCTTTGCGCCTCGGTATTGCTCTGAGCCAAATGTCTCGCAGAATGTTCAACTTGCGGTGGCCTAGTGCCAGCTACTTGCAGTCCCAGCGGGTTTGCGTTTGAGCAGTGCGCCGTCTGCTTACAAATGTAGTCGAAGTGGGCTGCCAAAGCTCCTCAAAAAAAGACAACCAAACAAAAACGGCACACCAGAACGACGTCCAACATATGGTGCCAACAAAAACCATGACAACGAACATTTGCTTCCAATCAAGCCAAATCTCTCCCATCTCCACCCCCCGGCCTTCCAAAGCCGAGGCCCGGACAGGCTGTGGCCTCAGGCACCTCTGCAGTGACGCCCATCGCCTGGCACGATCACCCCGGCTTCGATGAGCTCGGCGTGGCTGGGCGGATTTTGGCTGGCTTTCTTTTGGTGTCACTTTCAACTACCAACCAACAATCCACCATTTTGAAAAGCTGCCCATAAGGAAGGCGTTCGCTTCACAGTTGGGGGCTTCAAACAACGAGTTAGTGGGGGCGGTTTCTGTTTGGCTTCCCTCAACAAAAAAATGAGAAGAAAGGGCTCGTCAGTGATATGGGTGTGTATGGATTTTGGATATCTACGTCCATCTTCATGAATTTTGCCATAGAGATTGTTTGCAGCCCGAAAGAAATCGGGACAAAGCAACAGTGGAGGGTTGGGTCCGAGGGTTGGCTTCTCTTGCTGCACATGCATTATGGTTCTCTGTTGTCGGAAAATCCCCCGCGTGGAACTTGTATCTTCTGAGCGAACCCGAGTTCCCAAACACACTCCAGGCCGGCTACAAGTTTTACAGGTGCAACTCTGCAAGTCTGGTTAGCCGATGGCTTGCACAGGTTGCAGTTGAAGCAATAGCTTTTGAGGTCCAACATCCCTTTTTTCCTGGGGGTAGAGGTTTGGGGGTGGTGAAAGCCCTCTCAGAGATGCGCAGGCCTGACAAACAAGTCTTGTGCTTGAACGATGATGAGGCTCAATAAGAGAAGGGACTGAGCTACTAAAAAGTTGTGTTCTCCAAGCATTGCGTTGAATGTCTCCTCCGTGAACAGCATGGTGCTTGGCAACGTTTTGGAGACTCAAGAGCAAGGCTTCAAGATTGAGCCTATGGCCAAGCAAACCTGGCCAAAGAAACGCGTACTCCAGTTGAGTAAAATCAGATGCCACAACAAAGAACAAAGTACCTTATGAAGGTCTAAAAGCCTATTTCAGTTGCAAAAGGTCCAAAAATGGACCCTCACAGGCCCAAGATTATTCAAATCAATCACAGCGACCATCAAATCGAAATCCTGCTCCACTTTGACTGCATCTCACCCACGTCGGAGCCTTCAGGCTATGACTTGTGCCATACGACTAGCGACGCCCCCCCCCCCCCAAGCTCAAGTCGTCAACTCGGCGGCTGCGCCGGAAGGACCCAAGTGCAAAGAGGCACCTGTCGTCGAAATGGAATTCGCAAGCTGCCAGTCCCCTCCAAACATTTATGCTGTACATGCTGTACATCGTGCTTTCGCAATGGCGTTTGTCAGCTCATCTTGTCTGCGATTCTGCAGGTGATGTGTGCCGTTGGCTGGCTTTCCAAAGATCAGTTGAGTTGGAAGCTGCTGGAAAGCAGCTTCTGCGCAGCTTGCACAACGATGCAATGGTGAGGCGTCAAGTGGAAAAGCCCCGCCTTTCCACTTGAAGCATCAACACCATGGGCAAGGCAAGGGGAATAATACTCCAGTGTAACATCCCCCCAGATGGCCAATCCGAAGTGGACAAGCATCTTGGTCGACGCCCTCCGCCCTCTGCACCTCCAGCTCATGCGTGCTGAACTCAAGCCAGGAGTCGATCATTCCGCCCTGGCCGCGGGAAGTGAATCAGAAACCTCTTGGCAAAATATGAATACATGGAAATCTATGTACACCAAGCAGAATGTTTAAAGCTAGTCTCCATCAAAAGGCATACTGACGCGTTCGACACTGCAACTGAGAATGACAGGCTGACAGGAGCCCAAAACCACATTGTTCTGCCAGGCCCAGATTTTGCAGGCCAATGCTTGGCAAGAATTGAAGCAGATTTTGTCGCCGCCACACACACACTGAAGGCGTCAAGTTCCGTGCGCAAAGGCCTTTGTGCTTACAGAGTGCTCCTAGCATCCTTTGCGACAGGGTCACTCGTCTTCTTTAAAGAGATATTTGTGGGTTAGCTCTTGGAACTTTGTGAGCGTGAAAGCCAGTTTAAGAAGCTGGAACCAGTCTAAGAAGCTGGAACCGGAAGGAACGGGAGTGGAGGCGCCGTACGCCTCGATCAGGTTCTGGCCGTATAGACCGACAGGTCGGCTGATTCTGGAGATATACCTTGCGCGGACAACGACAACCCCAAAGAAGAGGTGGCAAAGGCATGTAAAGGCACATAACAGCTTCAGCCCACTCTCACTTCGCCCTTCAATCTGCCCGTTGTTTTTAAGCCACCCGTCTTTTAGCCCAACCCGGTCTCCCCCCAATACCTCGCGATGGCGGTGCTGGAGAAGATGCAGCCCTTGGGAGTCTCCAGGACCGGGATCTCGCGCAATCCGGGGCTCTTGCAAAAGGGCCCTCCTTTTGGCGTGGGTCAAAATTCGGGTAACCCCAAGATGGGACCCTTGCAAATGGAAACATGGACTAAACTCTGCGGTTCCCCTGGTGATCTGCTTTTGACCCATACCCAAATGGAGAATGGCCGCAGCTGGCGGGATACGCATTCCTACAATGCGTGTACCTGAGATATCCAACCAACACGCCGAGTCCGAACATATTTATGGCATGTGTATTTGTATATGTTTGCATACATATGGATATGTCTTTGTACTATACATATCTATATACACATTGTGGGCATGTGTCAACATTGGGATTCGCATCCCCAAACGGATCTTCGGTTGTCCTTTTGGTTTCCCAAGCCGACCTTAAAAGGTGCCGAAACGAATCCTGAATCTTGGCCAGACTTAGACTCTTCATGTCCAGTTTGGCTGAGGAAAAACTGGAACTTGGAAACCCAAGGAATTCAACGACGGGCAAAAAGCAGCAACAAAACAGAGATGTCTGGCAATGGAAGGTGCCCGAACTGCCTGACTCACTGCAGGATTGCTGTGCACATGTTGGGTTGAGGCCAGGAAGCTCACGAGCGATTCCCCAGCCTTGCCAGTCGCGGCTGCACCCGCGTTCTGGGGGCAAGACACCTCAGACGCGCGAAATTCGCGCTGGTTTTCCCAAAACCGAGTGGCACACACACAGGACGCGCATTTGTGACTCTCCCCCCGGAATTTGCAAGTGTCCAAACAATTGTTGGCCAACAGATCTATGGTTCTGACCTTTGTTGCGCAGAGCCTGCCTTCCAAGCCAACAACTTTACCGCCTTGACAAGAACAGCCTTCAGCATATCACCCCCCTGAACGAAAAAGAACGAGTATGTTGGGCTCCTGAGGACGGCAATAGGGGAACAAGGCCCCCGAAGCAAATCAGACCTGGGAAGCCTTCGGTCACTCCTGCCTCAAGTCCGACATACTCGGCAGCAATCAAGGCCTTGCGCGGTTGCTGGTGGCTCTCTCTCCAGTTGTTGAGAGTTTTGTTTAACATACCCGTTCCTTTCCCCTCTTTTTAGGGAAGCATGGTTCCGGCATTCTTCTTGAGGCAACCCGCAAACTTCGACTGGAAGTGTTTTCTTGGATTTGCATTAGGGAGTTTAGGTGAACTTGTATGCTCATGGAGAAACACACACACACACACACAAATGCAACACCGCAGCATCTCTTTGGTGGCTCATTGACTCACTGACTCACTGACTGAGTCAGCTTGCCATTGTGTACTGGCCTTTTTGGTCTTGTAGTTGTCTGGGTGCGCATAGAGCTTCATGACTGCCGAATGCACCTGCACAGAAATCCCTGGATTGAGGACCGCCAACAAACTCATTTTGGCTATCATCAGAGGCCTTGAGGGCTGAGTGGAGCTGTACATTATGAATATATACAATCTACATACATACAAACCCGTACACCAAAAAGACACAGCATATCTCTGCCGGACTCCCACAATGTCGGAGCCGCTTGCTTAATTGGGGCCGCTTTTATCTAAAGTTTGTCTTCCTAATTGGATCTTGTCCACCAATTTGGGTGGTTGCTGAATCCTCTTGCTGGGAATCTCAGAGTCAGTCTTGGCAGTAATTCTTGGCAAGTCGAAGACTCCAACTCCAAGCCCTGAGTTGCCCACCCAAAATTTGCCCCGCTGGACTGTTGGCACGGGGGGTGCAAAGTCAAAGCAGCCCAAAAAAAAAAAAGAAGCGCCACATCACGCCAAAGGCCAAAGCGCTCAAAGTGCCCTTCTTGAAGGAGCCGCAATGCTCAAAGCAGGCCTGTCGTTCACCAAGAAAGCTGGCCTGCTTGAGCCAGAAGGCTTCGCTCCGCTCATGTTCACATCTTCAGGCAGACACTGGCGCTCTCCAAGCTCAGGTGCGTTCTCACACGTGCAGTTTTCCCACGGGCAATGAGTGTTGTCACTTGATAGTGCCTCAAGGCAAGCATGGGTTCATCGATTGTCCTTCAAAGAAGTTGGGCTCAGAAGTAATTCGCACGCCTCGAGATGTGAAACGCAGCCTCCCAGGTGGCTCACAGCAGCTTCCAAACGTCGATATTGCCTTGGCCGAGTTCTCACGGCACGTCGCCTAAAAGCTGACCTGGGGCCCGCACCCGCGTCGTCAGTGTCCTTCTCTTCGCCCTCCATCCTCCAGCCTCTGCTCCTCTCCTCCCTCTTTGGCTTTTCTAGGGTCCGTGGCGCTCTTGCGGCTCTGTCGGCCTCTTTCCCGCCCTTGCCCCTCTCCTTGCCCTTCTCCTTGCCCTTGCCCTTGCTTCTGCCTTTGTCCTTGCCCTTCTCCCATCCTTTCTCCTTTCCTTTCTCCCTCCCCTTCTCCCTGACTTTCTCCTCCTTGCCCTCGCCCTTCTCCCAGCGCCCGCCTCTCTCCCCGTCAGCCCTCTTCACGCTGCTGACCTTCGTCGCTCTTCCGATCGGTGGCCTCGCAAGAGAAGCCAATGCGGCGAAAACCGAAGACCCAAAACCGCCTGCAGTCCATGACTAGTGTCCCTGCAATCTGACTCACAGAATAGAGCTTAGAACCTAAACTTCCGACAACACAGCTGGTTTGCGTAGCGGCGTAGGTTAGCCACGCAGGAAGGTGTACCGCGCAGTCAGGAACATGTGAAAAAAGCAGTGTGCTGTTTGAGCAGGGGACTGTGGGAGTGCACACGCTTCATGCCCGCGCGCAAAACAGTTGCCTTTGTAGCTCTATGGGTTAACCCCGCCCACTCCACACTGAAACTATGTCTTGTCCGCGGGCCTATGATGGAAATTTACCCAACATTTTCTTCAGTACAAACAAGTTGTTGTAGAAATAGGAATAATGCAAAAGTGTAAAACACATACATGCTAAGAATAGTGACTTTGCCAGAACGACAACAGGCCCACGTTTGAAATATGAGAGTTGCCTGAATGTGATAAGAATGTGCTGCGTTACATGTGCTAGGAATACGCAAAATGTGAACGAAGTATATAAAACTCCGTCACCATGTACTAGACAGCCTTCAACTCAACTCTGTGCTTCCATGTCTCGATGTTCCAAACTCAAATGAAGGTGACTTCCCTCACCGTTCTTCATGACAGCGTTACCGCAACCTCGGGAACCACAACTCTCAAGCCTACCCGGACGCCCTCAAAAAATGCTCACGCCGAGGCCCCGGGCGGCTTAGCCTTGGGCAACATCCGGCGCACGAAAGACGTGGTCACGGTCCTCAGCTAACGAGGCTCGCAGGACCTGTGGCAGGCTGGGTTGCTTGCGCACTGGCAGCCGCCATGTTAGCCTCATGGGATATTGAATCCTGCAGATCCGTTGGACAGAAAGCCCTTGATGATGTCCAGCAAGGGTTACAACCGATTTCATGCCCATATCAATTCCATCTGCCAACTGCGAGGCGGGCATTGAAATGCTGTCTCAAAGATCCAAAGGGCAAAAAGAACACCGTGAAATCTATCGTGCATTCATAATCAGCATCAAACCTGTGTGGGGTCCTTCCCGAAACAAAACCACCTCCCGAAATGCAGGAGGCGGGATTTCGCACATCGACACCTCGGAGGGTCGCCAGACCAACAGCCTGGCGCCCGGGCTGGCTGGCAGCACCTAAGCTCGGCAAGCGCCAGGCAGTCGTGGAGTATGGAGGTTCCAACTAACTCTTGGTTTCCTCCTGGTTTCCTCTTGGTTTCCTCTTGGTCTCCAAACTACCAGCCGGAAGGGTGTCCACCACTTTGAGAACCCGCCCCATTTTGGCCGGGACAACCAATTTGCATGGGGGGAGCATGTCCACCAACCATTTGTGAGCGTGTTCTGAAAAGGAGACGCTCAAGGTTCTATTGGTGGGGTTAGCTGGATGTGTGGGGAGCGCTCCTGCTCCCGTCCTCAAAGGATCTGCAAGAGGACAAGCACAGAAATGGCCCTAAAGCCATCACCCAAACAAACAATGGTTGATGAGGTGAGGGTGCATTCACAAACACCTTTGTCGGTCTGCATTCCCAGCTGCCTCATCCTGAAATCTGTTAAACTGACTCTGCTACCCTGCTCACCTTTTTGCCCCCATCCACCTTGCACGCGCCGAGTCCGTCTGACCGCCGAAGCCGGGTCAGCCTGAGCGAGCCTTCTCGCGCCCTGCCTCGCGCCACGGAGGCCGAGCCTCACAGCGGTGTCTCGGGGAGATGCGCCCGGTGTACGGAGCGTACTTCCAGCTCCGCGCTTCGCGTCACTCGCATCCCATCAGTCCGACTTGGAGCATGAGCTTGCCCTCGAGCGCCTCAGGCAGCTGGATGAAAATGCAGGAGTCGCAGCAAGCGGTTGGGGATCCCGCTGTATGCCATCATAGTTGAGTGTCTCTACTACTTCTCCCAGCCCAAAGACAGCAAGTCCACATGGCAGGCAAACATGTCAACAAGTGCAAATGAAACGTGAGAGAGAGAAGTCAGGCTCACGCGTGCGTTTCGTTTGCAAAACATGGCTTGTGACGGAACTTCAAGTGTTGCAGAGACATTGCGGTTCCATGGAACCATCGCTGAAATCATGCACTTCATTTCGAACCAACAACTTCAGGGAGGCCGAGCTGACGCCATAGGCCGAGCGGCTCCTCCCACTTCTCGGCCCTGTTGATGCACAGCAGGCAACACCAAACGAAGCTTCCCATGAAGAGGCACACGGCGAAGAACGCGGCCAGCCCGTTGATCACCTCGGAAGTCCGATTTTCGCCCGGTCGCGGGAGTCTCGCTGTCTCGCGGAGTTCGGCTACTCAGGCTTCCTTGTTCGAGTAGCTTGGAAGCAGAGAAGGAATTGGCACGCAAGGACGCTGTATTTTGGGTGTTTCACACAGAGACATTGCAGTTTCATAGCGCGTTAACACGACCTCACATCACCCCACCCAACGAAAGCTCATTCCAAATGGCCCAAAAGGTGATGCTTAAACCACGCCAAAAAAATAAATAAGGAAAATAAGGTTCTCTGATACCGGCCGCATGTGCGAGCCAAACTGCAGGCTCCAAACGGTGCCTGACTCCAAAGTTGAAATCTTAAGCGCCCCACAGCCCCCCTTCGAGACAAGCAGCATAGTAGACCTAGGTCACAGCCGGACACCATGGGTGAAGAACTGCAAGCAATGAATCAAGACACATCAATCGACATCAAACATACAGCGCCGGGCCTGCGACTCAGACCCATCCACAGCCAGGCTAAAGCTGGGGACTAGCCCTGGCAAGCCCCCCCAAAAAAATTGCAGCCCAAAGGAATCCTGAGGCACCTCATATCCACTCTTTCTTTTTGTGGATAAACAGGGCCAGGCAGGGCAATACATCACCGAATTGACAAAACAAGGCATAGCGCGCCAATCAAAGCAAAGACAGCAATGCCTCAAACAGTAGACCGGATTCTACCCCAGAACCTGATGTTCGCTTCCGGGCCGCGTTGGTCCAGAAATCCGCGGGCGCTTCCAGCGGATTCTGCGCGATGACCTCCGCGTGGGTCGGCATGGCGGAGAGAAGGTGCTGAGCCGAAAGCGCGGCACGCCACCAGCGGAGACGCGGGTATCTGAGGGCAAAAGTGGAAGCATGCTGGATCCCTTCAGAGGCGGGGTAACCACGGCTGGCAATGAAATCTAAAACTGCTCCATAGCATCTGTCATTGTTACGACTCCTGCTGCTGGATCCCTCCATCTTGGACCATGCTTGCCTCTGTCATGGACCTTGGAGAGACAAGAAAGGTCGTGCTACCCATCGAAGACTTGCTTGGCAGAAAAACAACACGTTGGCAAAGTGACATATTAAAACAGCCCGACTTACTTCCTGCATGATCCCTGGAAGAGAAACAGCACAATGTTCCTCGTGCGTGGGTACCTCGTATATACATAAGGGTTCACCTCTTGCAATCGTGGCACATTGGAGGAAGCCCTTGCTGGCACTGTGCTGGCTTACAAGCTCTGCAAAAAGGATATATCTGGCAACTTTTGATCCAGAGGGGAGCAGTTACCATCAGGGTTAATGAAACGACTCTCATTGGTTTTGGGAAGTCCGTCATCTGAAACATCTAAATTGCGGTCCGCCCAGAAGAAAGCTGACTCTTGCCAAGCAACATGTTTGGATAGGCTGCGACACAATCCCAATGAGGAACTCCCAAAATGGGTGGTTTCCGTTTGGTTCCTTTTAAAATAAAACCACCCCAGAAAAGGTAACAATTACTCTCAAAAGAAGACACACCCATATGTTTAGCGGATGCATGGGTCACAAAACTGCGTGCATTTCAATCAAACCTCTCGGAAAACTTCGCTGTCTCGCGCTGAGCCACGCTCGCTGCGAGCCGTGAAAACTGTGGAATTGATTCCTTGCTCGAAAGGTCCATTTCCTCCCAGTGGCTGAGGACAAAAGTTACCTTTTTTTATCCGGACAAAGGTGATGAGTCTAGGTGCTCTCAGAGAGGAATGAGGCTGAGTAGAAAAGGACCTCTGACCATCATAAGGTGGGCTGTTAACCCTCTGCAAGGCGCTAAGCCTTGGCACATTGCTCCAGAAAGCTAAAAAATGGCTCATCCACTCCGCCCCGCAAGGATGCCTCCCTTGCATGGCTCTCAAACGTCTAAGTTGTACATTTCAAATGGGGGTTCCATGTCAGGCTGGACAAATGGCGGAGCAAGTGGCTCGCCCAAGGTGCAGCGGCGGTCGTTGGATGCAGCCGAATTTCTCCGATTCAAAAAAGGTGGGCGCTCAGGCCAACTGGGAGATGTAGGTGATGTCCTCCGGTCCAAAAGACGCCCGCTCAAGGTTGCTCAATTTGACGTGCGGAAAATGGGTGGCGAGGAGTCTTTGCTCCCAACAGGTTACTCAAGAGTCATAAAACAACTGCCACCTCATGAGTCATGAGGCCTTCAAACAACTTGTCACGACTCCTCTGGAACTTTGCGCTCAAATGACTGTCCCCGGTGGAAAGCAGGCGGCAAGCACTGAGGCTGCGGCGTCCCAAGGGTGTCTGTAAAGCGGCTGCTTCAGCCTGACAGGTTTGGGCTGACCAACGCTGATAGCTGAGTCTCTATGCAGGATTGTGTGTCGTTGCTCCAGGTCAAATCACTATTACCATGATGAGATTGTTAGGCAAACCTAGTTCAATGCATCAGTCTGATGCGCTAAGCAAACACGAAACGCCAAGAAGAGAGACCTCTACTATAGACGAGGCCTCTGTAAGAGACAAACAATAGTGGTTGTCCCCGACAAGCAAGGTAAAATTGAGACTTGGGCAACTGAGTAGGTTCCGAGACAAACCCGAGCTGTCAGTTGGCACTCGGTAGTGGTCAGTGGTCACTCGCAGGAGCATAATCGACGTTCTTCGAATTGTGGGGCGGGGGCTTAAACAGAGTCCAAGATGTGTGTTCGCTTGGGGGGTTCGTGTTGCAGCCAAAAGAAAACCAAAGCCAACGTATTGCCCCTCAGCCCTCGGAACATCCATAAATCCTGGCACCGATCCTCAACGTCCCCAAAGGAGCCGTTCGCCCGAAGCTCGGACTCAGGCCGCAGGCCGAGTGCGTGCCGCGCCTCAGCTGATCCAAGTGATGGCCGATGAAGCCCAGGGAGCGGCCCAGCACGAAGAGCCCGTTGAGGCACCCGAAGCTCATCAGGTCCTCTGCCTGCCGAAATGGACGGAAGTTTGGACCCAAAATGCGGGGGATGCACCGTGCACCGCATTAGGCTCATTGAAATGTTCACAGCCTGGGGTTGAAACCTCCCTCGGATTGACATAGAACCCCAAAAGCGGGTTCTCTCTATGGGAGATTTCCCTACAAATGGTGGTGTTTTGGCTTCCAAGCCTTATACATAGAGTTCAAAAAGGAGGGTCCAACCATTTGGAACCTGGTGCCATGTTTTCCTGCTAAAGGAGGTCACCGGGTCCAAACAATTGCATCTACACTGCGAACAGCCTTACACGACAAGAGTTGCCGAAGTTTTGCAAAGTCTTGGCCTTGCATCAATCGGCCCGCCTCCTCACGCGAGAACGCGCCACAGGATCTCAGCATGTCTGTGAAGCACACCTCGCAGAAGCTCAAGGTGGGACGAAATTAGTGCTTTGGAAGGGGAACCATAGGAGACGCGGGATGATATTTCGCGGGGAAGGAGACAGTACAGTTACTTGTGAAGGGATACAGGATGATGGACAAACCATGAAAGGTGGGTTGAGCAAGTTTAAACAGGTGGTTTCCAACCCTGGCGGGTCAGCCCGCAAAAAAGGGCTGCAGTCTTTGAAGCTACAGTAGGGATTTATTGAGCACATTTTCCCGTTGTGCCCACAAAAGGAACATGTATGGCGAAGGGCCGTTTATTTGGAAAAAGGCCCTCTTTTGAGGAGTAAACGAAGCCTTCACAAACAGCATATTTTGGGTGTCGCAAGCTGAGGTTGCCCACGGCGATGCAGCCGTCCACATTCAGGATAAGGTTGGCGCGCTTCCTGGGAACATCGCAACCCACGCCTGTCGCAAACAGATACTCGGACACTTGAAGATTGTTCTAAGAGAAGCTCTTAACTTGGACACTCCTAAAGGGGTCAGAAAAAGGTCAACAAGCATACTCCCTTTTTGAACAGCCCTCACTTGAACCCTTTGCAGTGCATGACCAAACACATACCTCCAATTGCACTAGTGTCGTCACGTCCTGGCTGACGAAAACTTGCGCAATTGCTGCTTCGCAATCTTCAAAATCAGCCTGTCCCACTGTCTATTGCTACCACGCTATCGCGCCCGCGAGACATGCCCCAAGCTGCCCATGGACCGAATGTGTGCCGCTGTGCAGTCGAGGCCGCGGCTTGGTCGTGATCTGCTCCACCCCCAGCGCAAAGTCCTGACCGCGGAGGCTCCGGTGAGGGCCGGGCCAACCGCCTGTGCTCCTAAATAAGATGTGCACCCCCAACATGGGCTCCGGTTCCTCTTGAACTCCCTGCTTTGAGTCACGCCGAATGGTTTCCCCTGGAGTTTTCTGGAAGATGTTCAGAGCAATTTCCCTTGTTTGAACTACGCGGCTACGCGTTGCAAAATGGTTTTGCAGACCTAGTTGCGTTGGTTCGCCGCAGCCATCCAGAACTCAATGCTCCCCGGCCAGGGGAAGACTTCTGCGTCCATAAGCAAAGTCTCGCAGCCAGACGCTATGCTTGGTTTTTCTCATAGACCATTCTCAGCAATGCCCGGCTGGTCATAACAAGTACTCAGTACTCACAAAAACACCTGGCATCCATGATGCCAACAGGAACCCTCTGACAGTCGAGCTGCGCCGGACGAGCCAGCGACTTGGCGTGACCCAAACTGCCGGTCCAGAATGCTGTTATCTTTGAAACACTTCTTGGCGTACTGCTTGATGATCTCCACCTCAGGCGTTGCTCTGAGCCCCAGTGAAACTATGCGGTGATGAAGGACTGGATCAATTGATGAGTCACCTAGCGCTGTGATGCACCTACAAATGGACCTGCCACAGCTATGACTCTCGCGCCTTTCGCGAGTAAGCCGCAGACTCTCTGGTCCGGATTGGCCAGAGACTTGATGCGGTGACCTGGCTGAGTGACATCTGAGTCATGTGGACTCGAAATCGCTCAGTTCTTGATACCTTTGCCATTACCCTTCAATCAAGCAGTTCACTTTGCGCTGGCAAATGTAGTGAGGCGGTTGCCCGGGGAAAACCTCACTTCCCGAAATATTCTCCTGTAACCCAAGCCCGAGGGGTGAATGATGGACAGTCGCCAAGAGAAGCCCCGGGGCTGCGGCCGACGCCCATGATCAGCTTGTTCTGCTTCTTGCACTGGTCTACAAAGTCCTGGACATCGGAGAGCCAGCACAAAGGGGGCTGGTGTCGGCCACTGTTTGCGCCATTGGAAAGCAAATCGCTCCACCTGAAGACGGTTTGCGAGAAATGTAAAATATATTGCATCGGACAACTGTCACTTCTTCCCGCTCCATCCCTTAACATTGCTTAGCAACCCACTGCGGAAGTCAATCTCTCTCTCTCTCTCTCTCTGCCCTCTGCTCCTTTGGGGAGACGCCGCTGTCATGCGCCTCTGCAAACCTGATCGACAGGCGGGAGTCCCAGAAAGTGCTCGATGCGTCCAACTGCCTGAGCTTCCCGGTGCCTTTTCAGCCACCAAAGCGAATGCTGTTTTATCCAATCTTGATGCACTTGTTCGGTCTGGGGCGGGTCACGACGCATTGGGCCCGGTTCAAGCTCTGCTTCGCACGCCAGCGTTGCTGCAATTCACGGAGTTACGTAAGGCATTGAAAGGCTGTATGCACTTCTGACTTGCTCTTATGCTTGCTTGCTTTCTTGCTTGCTTGCTCGCTCGCTCGCTGGCTCGCTTGTTTGCTTGATTGCTTGCTTGCTGGCTGGCAGGCTGGCTTTCTGGCTTGCTGGCTCGCTAAATAGTTAGCTAGCTAGCTAGCCAGCTAGCCAGCCAACCACTTGCTCTGGTGCTCGCTTGTTTGCTTGATGCTTCTTGTCTTGCTGGCTTGTTGGTGCCTGCCTGCCTGTGCATCCACAGCTCTTTGGAGGCGTCAACTACCCGCCATGTGGGAAAAGTGCGCACTGGGCGAGAGCGTGGACACAGTTGATACGGGGTAAAAGGATCTGTACGGCAGAAGAGAGTCATTGCTTCATTTGACGGCTTGTTGAAGAGCGTGCGCTGTATGGCCAGCACATGCTGTCAAACTGTCTTGTGACTGGAAAGGGCATCCAATCCAACAAGTATGACAATCCCAGACGCAAGGTTCCAAATGTAACTTGCGGTCCAATCTACAATACTGTGTCAAGAGTGGCTCCTCCTGGCAAATGAGTCGACTCGCCCATTCCTTCATGACGAGAGATGAGCTGTGCGACTGTGGCCATGGAGGCAGTCCTTTCCAACAGCATCAGTGTTTACGGAATTAAACTTTCGTCATCCAAGCAGTTGTTTCTCCGCATTTCCCACTGACTATTGACACATTGATGCAATACCCCATCTCCACGGGACCTTTGGACATCAGTGAATGTGGCGACACACACAGCCTCGCGAAAAGCTAATAGCATGCTATCAGCTCACTGCACGGTGCCTGGCAAAACCCTACGGCCGGCAACTCGCACCGAGGCAGCAGCATCTTTGCCGCGTCATCCAAAGCTCCACCAAAGCGTGGCCCGATGGTGAGCAAGCCTGGCGGCTCCAAAGGTTGCAGCTGATCTCTTTAAATGGCTTCTGAAGGGACAAGGAGATCAACTGTTGTGATCAACTCTTCACATTTGAGGGCTTCCCGCTGTTTGTTGGAAACGCCAACACGGCTACACCCACGTAAGACCCCGCAGCCTCGCTTGTTCTGCTGAGAAGTTCAAAAAAGAACCTAAGGTGGCTAACTTCAAACGTAGATGCAACTGCAGTCCTCTGTCCCCATCAAGTGAGCATGAATCAATCAAGCCGGAAGTGCCACTGCATAGTGCGGACACCAAGTCCTGCAGAGATGTCAGTGACGCGCACCAGCTGCGAGACCCCCCCCCCCACCCCCGCCCCGGCCTTCAGGGTTCCCTGTACTTGGCCTTAAAAAACCCACCCCACCAAAGGGAAACTAACTCACTGCAAGTTGGCGAGCGGACAATTATGGGGAATGCCGACACTCTTTGCCCGAGAAGCTCCTTGCCCGCACGCGCCGTCCTGGCCATTTTAGAAGCTTCCCCCAGCGATTTATGTCCACCAACGACTTGTGAGATGGCTCCCTAGTAATTATCATAGCCATTCATACCTTGCTGCAGCGTGGAATCTTGCAGTGAACAATCTGAAGCGCACCAGCTTCAATCACGCGCAAACCTGCGGTCCCCAACATACCACCGAGCAGACCTCGCCGTCTCCCGCGTTGCCCAGCAAGGTGGTCAGCGTGTGATCCAAACATGGCAGCAGTGCACAATGGTGTTGTGCGCTCCGCTGACAGCCGGACCATGATCAGCAGTAACCTTGGGCAGCCACGCACGTGGAGGGATTGGTGTGTTTTCCAGGAGAAAAGCAGGGCACTCAAAGTATAGCTCGAGGATGTCATCGGATCATCGCATTCTGCGCAATCCAGCTTGCTCTTCTAGAAAACACCTGCTAAACTTCGCGTCATGCAGCATGCCCACCACTGTGGTCGTAACCCACCACAAATGTGCTTAAAGTTCTATAATTAGTTCACAGACTGGAAGAAGGAAACCCTTGGTGAGCTCGATGTAACTAGTTCAAAGCAAATGCCAAATGCTCTCTGCAACAGCCAACAGAGAGTGCACGGAGGGCAAACATCCATCAGCTCACAATCGCTTGCGCCTCCAAATGGAGCTGCCTAAAAATGGTGAACCCCCCTTTTTTCACAGGTATGAAAGGGAAGCCGAAAGGAAACCAACCACTTAAATGCCACAATGTTGAGAGACACCCATCCTCCATATGCCAAACTGGGCCAAGCTGAGCGCCCTGCCATCAACACCATCTCCTCAGTTGAGTGAGACTCACCACAGGCAAAGCAGGGCCACGCATACAAGCACAATGTCCGGGAATGCCGGCCCAAAACCTCTCATATTGCTGCTGGATGCATAGCCGCGCCATAGAATTGAGACTTGCCCCAGAAGGGGGGCAATCCGCAAATCGGACCCCTCAAAACTTCAGAATGCTTGGTTGTTTTGATTTGTCCCCTGGGTCCGTTTAAAACCGGCCAGAAGCGGAATCCCCATGTTGAAAAAGGCCCTTCTCCCAGCCAGGCCACGATGAACTTGCAGCATGCAGGCGGCAACTGCCTTGGCCGATGTTTTCAGCATGACCATCCTCTGGAAATCAATAGGGAGAAACCCACAAAATGAAACCCGAATCTCCTCTATTGTCTTCCTGTAACGGTACAAAGCCAAGGAAATTGGAAGCAGCTCTTACATTTGGAAGCAGCGGCCGTTGGTGAAGAAGGACGGGGCTCAGCCAACCACGGCCTGCTACATATATGCATATATGCATATATAATTATATATATATATATGGCTCACGGATGGTTTCGAGTGGTGGTTGTAGTGGTTCTGCAAGACTCAGCAAAAACATATACGCTAGAATTGGAGAAAAGAAGAAAAGGTGACTTGCACTTCTGCGCCATGTTGCAAATCACCAGCATGTACGCCACTGGTATTATAGAGACCGATCTGAGGTGGTGCAGGTTCTGTTTGTTGTCTTGTTCTTGACTCAAGGCAGCCAGCTTGGGGAAGCACGCGTGCCGTGGTTGGCAAAGCCAAATTCAACCGTGAGCAACATGGCCGAGGATGCTTTCATCCAGTAAACAAACGCCACCAAGCACACGAACCATAGATCCGGAACCCAATGTAGGGGACGAAAGCATGGTCTACCAGTCCGCTCTGCAAGAATACCCAAAAAAGCTGGACTGCATGGCACTGCATGGCCCCAGCGCATGGCTTGCCCTCAGAAAAGAACTCGCGACCCGCCTTCGGAACCACAGCAGGGACACCACACCGCCGACGCCTCGAGGCTTTCACCATAGAGACCCAAAGCCACGAGCTCGATGGGATGCCCACTGAGTAAACAAATTCGGATTGCAATGGCTCCCCAAGGTATAGCCGGATTGTTCTTGTCCCTGCTTTGGGGCTCCATGCAAGGTGCAGGAAGGCCCTTTGTTCAAGCGGTCGTTGTTTTTAAGGTGGTTTTGAGCGTATCTATTAAAGCTATCTTGCAAAAGGCACAACAGAAATGAGACACAAGCCCAACGCTGCCAAGGTTTAGCAAATTGGTTCGCTGGAGAGAAAAGCAAAAATTCAGGCTGACTGAGGTAGCCAAAACAGCTGGGCAACATGCCCCTTCATTTGGTCTCCCAAGCTTGCCAAAGTAGCTGGCAAGCTCCACCAACATGTGCTCATGCACCTTCTCGAAAGTTAAGCTGCTGCGCCCTCCATGTTTGCCTCTCTCCGGTTTATGCTGTTGTGTGTGCTCCTTGCAACTTGTTGGGGCAACCGAGGAGGGGGGAGGCCTGTGTTCCATGACGGCTGGTTTTCAAGCGGTATCCATCCGGTTCAAATGTGCACTTCATGCCACCGGCTCCGCGGAGCGTGGTGGGTGGCCATGGTCTGTTTTTGATGGACCTACCCCGCCTCTGTTAACGCAACGTGTTGGAAGCTGCTTGTGCAAACAGGTCAAGGAAAGATCCCACGAACGGATCCAAAAATGACAGTGAGTTGCAGGGTCCGTATCTTTTGGTTCATTTCAAGCGAGTTTGTCTCGGTAGCAATGATATTTTAAGGGGAAATGCAGGGAACCTTGAGCCAGGTTACTCGACGACCTTTCCATGATCCTGCTTGCTTCCAATTCCTAGCAACTCTCTCTCTCTCTCTCGCAAACAGCACAGGTTGCCAGGCAAGCGCCAAAACCCGCAAGTGGATCCCTCCGTCCAACCCAAACCCAAACCAGTCCTTCAGCTCACTCCTTGCGCCAATTGGGGTGACAAGTCCGAGCCCCGGGCCCACGCTTTGGGAGAAGACCTCCGAGATGCTGACCCCGCAGTACTGGAGCTCCTAGCGGCGGCTTAGCGCACACGGGGAGGGCCAACTTCCCATGGAAGGGGTGTAGGCTCGGAGCCCACAAGCATGCGCCACGGAAGATCGACCAAAGGCAAGTAAACTTGAACCTCCTTCCACCCAAACTAAGGTAGCAACCCAAGACTTACAAACGTTACTCCCGTGGGACAGCAGCCGGTTTGGCGCAAAACATCGGGAAACGGGCTGCACTTTGGGCGGCCCCCGCTGTGCGCCCCTCGGCCCTTCCGCCCATCGGCGCCTCCCCCCGGTCATCGGAGATGGAGGAGATGAAGTTCGCCGGCTTCCTGTCACGCCGAGTCCGTGGCTCGGGCGGAAGCCCTCACTCCCTACCAAACCTGGCTGGACAGCGTTCGTTTTGGCTGAAGCTAAACACACACACACACACAAAAAAAAAAAAAAAAACGACCAAGGTGTTGGATACTTTCGAGCGTATCCAACAAACATGCCTGACTTCAAGCCAGCTCTGCAAATTGAGGCCCCCCTCGATCGCACAATGGTAAGCCATGTCCAGCATCGGCCAGCTAGTGTGGCCACAAATCGATATCAAAAGGATGAAAAAGGAGGGAGCTTGCATACGTCGAATACAGCCGATACTGCCCTTCCAGAAATCGGAACTTCGCCCATTCGGCTCCTCACCATGCCCAGCTTCTTTGCCCAGGTGTAGTCCACCGGCACCTCCACGAGAATTCTTTGCTGGACATGAGAAACCCACCCAAACTAGCTGGACTGTGTCGTCTTCCCGCGTTAGTGGCCACTCAGTGAGGGATTTCCATGGTGGCCCCCGCTAGCAACTCTTTAGCCAGAGTTCGTACATATGATCTTCTTCCTTGCCAAGGTTTGCACTCGCCCGACGCGTTTCAAGATCCGATATTCTTCTTCAACCTTTTGCCCGACCATGCATGACCCTCCTGAAGCTCCCAGTTTTACATCAGCGACACAATCCATGCTGACCTCTGCGGTGGATTGATGCGAGTTTGAGTCCTTTCTGCCCCTTAGAAGGTGGCTCCAACTTAACCTCCGCACACGCCTGGAAAAACTTGCCTTCCTTCCTGACTTGGTTGCCTCAGACGTGCGCGCGCCTGTGGCGTCTCGCCTTCTGGCTCCTGGCGTCTGGGATCCCAAACCCAAGACTCAAGACAGAGGCTTGCCTCAAAACAGGGAACCCATGGGAACCCCCCGTAAAAAGATGTAGTGGTCACACCAAGTCAGGCTAGCAAACTCTGATCGAGGTAAGCTCACGCAACAAAAGAGAACTAGCAGTTTGGATTTCTGCCGGAGGGTTGGATGCTTGGCTGCTTAGTGGAAGCCGAATCACGCTTCCTTGATGATAAATCCAGAATGGTGTTTCAGTCTGGCACAAACCCCAAAATGGGTTTGTCTCAAATCAGGTGACCCCAATGAATGGTTTCGCAGTGGTTTTCTATTCAAAGATGCAGAGCCTCTTCGGCCTAGATACCAATGCCAGGTGCCGGCCTCCACGATGTCGCCGCCCTCCACCATCTTCGTGTACCTCTTCCCCCGAAACCCAGAAGGAACCTGAGTTCGGGGGGGGCCCGAACCATCTTCCTCGAAAAGGGTGCAGGGCTCAAAGGGGCCATTTCTCTGGTGAATTCCAGGTTGTTTGGTGGGAGGGTATGCATTTCAGAAGGGATCAGCAGGGGAACCTCAGAAAGCGTTTTAGCAGACTTAGAAGGGTTCATCACGTTTTGATTGGTAATGTCGTCGGAAACAAAAAAAAACACCCTCGGACCCTGATTTCACGTCCAGTCGCCGAGCCGATTCCCATCCCTCGGCGCACAGCTGGTCGAGGGTCTCCGGCAGCTTGTCGAAAGAGTCCGGCACGATGATGCCGGCTTCCTAAATTGCAACATCTTCAGAGCACCCACATGGAATGTTCGGAAGCGGGATCAGGCATGTTAAGTGAACAGGTTCTCTGGTGGAAGGCTTGAAGAATTACAGTACCCCAGGTGAGCTTACTCTTGGGTGCCCTTCAAACTCCTTTTTTTACACAGCCGGACATGGCTTTGTAAGGAGTCATCGCCCTAAACCAGCCAATCACACTCGCTATTAGTTTCGGCTTGGTGTTTCAAGGGCATGTCTGTAACTAGCTTTGTAGCAAACATGAACCAACAAGCATACTTGGAGGGGTAACTTGCGCAGCCTTGCGACGTGCAACAGCCATCAGCAACTCAGAAGATCCAGCATTTCTACGGGAAGCGCGCCTTCATAGCTGCGTTCTTCGCCATAGCAGTCTCCGTCTTGCCTCTGGCCTGCGTCAAATAAAATTACTCAAGGCCGCTACTCCCCACTTCCATGCTGTGATCAAAGATTGGGATGACTAGCATCGAGCGATATCTGCACTCGAGCACTGGCTGCATGCATTACCTCAAGCTTCGAGCTGCGACTTGCTGCGCCTGTGCACCAGCGTGGCCGAACTGCACCTGAGCCCAAAGGAGGGGGAGCTGATGATCATCCTCTGAGAAAGTTGGAGTTGAATTAACTTCATCTGTTCTTTGCCCGCTTCAATTGCACAAGGGAGGGCATTCAAACATGAAAGATCGTGAGCTGTGACTTGTGCTCTAAGGCACGGCTCACGTTTGGCCGTTTGTGAAGATGAATTGTTGGCCCAGCCCAATCGATTGATTGGATGGGAGCACTCCAAAGCCCCCCCTTGCAATCGAAGTGCCTCTGTCGTTTCCGATTCATCGGTGTTCTCACCAGGATACGGTTGGCTATGGCCACTACCAAGGGTGGACGGCCCAACTGGCATATGCCGGAGAACCTAGGTGTCCTCGTGAAATAATAAACATGATGGCAGTGGCAAATGATGAGGAAAACTCCGAAAGCACTGGAATCCATCCATGTTCAACCAAGCCTAGGTCCTCCAGTAGAGGGGTTACAATAAGGGTACGTAGGGCGTAAAAAAGGGGGAACCCTCCCCCAAAACAGTTGGTAAAAGGGCAGTACTGGGGGACTTAGAAGCGGACCCAAGACGAGCAATCCATGCCCGAGAAACCCCCCAGCCTCTGTGGAGAAGCAGGAGGCGCAAGTGCCTCGAGCACACTCCGCCCTTCACAGACCGGGGGGGGGAACTGTGGACCTTCCAGGACCGCCCCGGGTTTTGAATTTTTAAAAAGATGTGGACTCGCTCACAGGGGCTGACCAAAACCTGAAACCTTTGAAGGATCCCCAAACATCCCCAATAGCAAAGAGTCTGCGAGCTACACTTCAAAGGGGATCCCTGTATTTCCCTTAGGTCAAAAGATGAACCCCAGACTCGGGAGATCAAGATTGCTGAGAGAACTGGTCGTACATGCATCGCCATTTGGCATTGTTTTACCTCTGGGCAGTCTCTTCTCCCCGTCTTGTCACCCAGACTACTTGGCCGCCGGCCGACGCACCACGCAATGACTGGCCAAAGGAGTGGCAAGCCAGCAAGGCATACTAGCTCACAGCCCATTTCAACTTCGCCCTGAAAATCAACCAACTACTCAGCACTGGCATTGCCGGACTTTCCCATTTTGAGTTGATCAAAAATATATGGTGGGTTCCTATGACACTGCTACAAGGTCCGAAAAAGAAAGAAACTGCGGCACCCCTGACAACACCTGCCACTCTCTAGCTTGCCCCGGAAAGCATGGCGGCAGTGCTGGGTTTGTTGATCCGCCCCGACTTCACCGCGTCGATCACGGCGTACTCGTCCTGCCCTCCGACCTGAAAAACATGGAAAGGAGCTGCTGTGGAATATGAAACATTGACATGCGACTTTCCGGGGCATGAAGAGTACGGAAGAAACGAAAACATGATGGTTGCTCCAGAAGTAGATTCTTGCTCCATTGCTCCAAGCGTTGCGCTTGCCAAACAGGAGACAAAGCCGTTGGCTGCGCAAGCCTCGCCCAGCAGCATGAGGATCTTGGCACCAGGATCGTCCTACAGAACACAAAGAAAATCAAGGCTCTGAGAATTTCCGAAACCTGCAGGAACGGGTTTGTGGTTGAATAGTTTCAACAAGGATATTCAGAGGGAAACCCTGCCCCAGAAAAGATGATGTCCACCGAGTCCACTTTCACTGACAACTCACGCTCAAATCAGTGTTATCCCAATATCCGTTGGTGCGTACATCTCAAAACACCCTTTTTACGGTCGGTTTGAAGCGAACTCACAAGGAAGACCAACGCCGCCTGGACCTGGGCTGCAAACCGCAAGCCCAAGCGCTCCTGGTAGCGCAGGAGGTGGTCGATGAAGCGGCTGCCAGGATACCTCCCATGCGCAGTGGGCTCTCCGGGAGTGTTGTGCTGGGGTGAGGCTGAAAATCCTCCAGCTCCATAGCGCTCCACCTCCGCATCTTCGCGGCCAGGTGTGTCAGTGCATTTGACGTCACAGGTTTGAAGCACACCTCCAAGCGGCCCTTTCCAGGTGCAGTGAAAGCTGCCCCTTGGAGCACCACCCAGAAGAAACTCGCAAATCGGTCAGTCCACGCCAATTGGACGTTCACTCGCTCTAGATTGGGGGGTTCACCCAGAGGTAGATGTGCAACTGACTACCATGTTGTTCGCTAACAAGACACATCCGCTCTTACACGCCCTTGTCGTTTCCGCACTTCTCGCCTGTCGCCACCAATGGCAACTCCCTCGTAGACGCCGTTGGAGTTGCGGGCGATGATGTTGTTCTGGCCGGAATGCTCAGGCAAGAAATGAAGCCGGTAGGGTGACATGATGCACAGTGAAATGGCAGCACCTAAGGAAGGAGTGATGCCCGATAGCTTTTGAACCGGGAACAAACCTCTTAGCCTCTTTTGTGTGTGCACTCTAACCGCTGCGGCTAGAGCTTTCAACCGCAAATCGCCGTGAAACACCCTTGCCCCAATTGAAGTTGGGCCCAATGACTCAAATGAACACGCCGGAGGGGCAAGTTCGTTTGACATGCCGCCGGACTTGGAGACGTACGCAACCTTAGCTGCATGGCCGCGAGTCTGAAATGCGCTAGCCTGGCCGGCCCACCACGGTTCCGCAAATCCTGCGACGTCAGCCGAGATGCAGATCCAGGACGGTAAAGTCTGGACATCACCACGTTGTCCAGCATGCCGCCTCACGCAATACAGAAATCAAATAGTTCATAAATACATACATACATTTATACAGGCATGTAAATATACAGCTATATGTTCTGAGCCCCCCCCGCCCCGATCCACCTTTTGCGTGTCATTCCTGTTGGCGCTCTGTCCCATCTGCAAATCATGTTTCGCAAAGGATGGCCCACCAGCAGGTCACTGTCATATTTCCCATCTGCAAATTCGCCTCGGCCTTAAGGGGGCCAAGGACGCTCAGATCTTTTTTCCAAAGACAATCTTCGCTTGTCCCCTTCCCCAACTCCCCAACCAAAATTTCTCCCCCACCCCTTTCGGGGCTCGTCGGAGTCCAGCTCCATAGGCCTTGTTTTGTCACAACAAACTCACCCAAAAAAAATTGTTTCTTTCCGTTCAGCATGACCTCCTCCGAGCCCGACCGCCAACCCACCCAGGCCCAACCCGCCCAGCCCAGGCAAGGCTGGTTTGTCTGACGTTTAAACTGGCCAGCCAGCTCACATGTCTAAGACTCGCCCACTCCCTCCAGCAACCCACCTAGCAAGGCCCCCGCTGTCTGCCCAACCAGCAACCGGCTGAAGCAAGTCTCTTGGCTGAGCTTGTTCAGCCGAGGATCACCACAGCTCTGCCTTGGTTGTCGAGACTTTCCGCCCATGACATCCACTCCCCATGACATCAATTTGTCCAGCGACGCCAGAACGTGCCCATTCCTGCGTCGCCACTTGGCCGGCTCTGCCGCTTGCAGTCGAACCACAGACGCTGCGAGGCGGGCAACGTGCAGCGTTTACAGTAAATCAACTCAATTCTATGCTCGAATAAAACTTCTAACGTGAAATTCCAGTAAAAGCCAAATCAAACTCGATGGCAATCCCTTTGGAAGAGAGTTCATAGTTCAAGTTAAACCAAAGCTCTGAATACACTAAGCCGCTAGGAACCTGTGAACAGGGCAATCATGTTTGTGGAATTCCTCCATTTTTGGCATTAAAGCCTTGAAGCCAAATTCTCATGAGGCTTCACTTTTGACATTTTTTATCGGACCTCTCTGCGCAATCGAGACTTCCCTTCCCTTGCGGCAAAAGGTCCCAGAGGCAATGGGTGTGCGCCTTTGTCAGTGCCCCAACACCCGCGCCGCCAATCGGAAGCAATTTAGGACAATCGTCAATCTCCACCGACACTGGCAACGAGATAAACACATGGTCCATGGTTGAAGATTCGGACACGCCGCTAGCCGAGGACCCGACCTACTCTGCGACCGAACGGGCGCCGACGGTGCCCGTTCACAATACATTCCTCAAGTAAAAAGGGCTGACCCGATTTGTCTGCATCGTCTTGCGCTGCGGCTCGTGGCCGCGGGGGACGAGGAGCGGAGCGCCGGCAGGGCGCCGATCATGGAGCTCAGCGACGAGCGCTACTTCTACGACCCCGAGGGAGAATGGGTCGTGTCCACGGAGACGACGCAGTACCGCAACAGCCGCGTGCACGTTGCGCGCCGGACAGTCGGTGTCGGGCGCTGACGGTCCACGTGAGTCTGACAGAACAAACTTGCGCCGCACAAACGCCGGCAAATGCAGAGAGGTGTTGCTGGACGCTCATGTCAAGCCTTTAAAGGGGGTCAGTTCGACTCTCCGAACTGAGTTTTGCCTAGATGAAAAACAAAAACCGCCACACTGTTTTTGTTGGACGGGATTCTGCGAAAAACAAAAAACTGAAGGGAAAACCAAAACTCCAACAAATCTAATCGGGCGTCCCACAAGAGTCATAGCTAATCAAGTTTCAAGCTGTTTTCGCGAAAAATGCAAAACAAACAGAACGCGTGCCCTTTTGGGCTCACCGAAGGAACCAAAAGGTTCACCGTGCCCGCTTTGCGGCGCCACAGGCCCCGCTTTGCGGCGCCTCTAGCAAAGCAGGCTTGGTTGGCACAAGGCAACAGGTGGCGTGACAGAGTCTGGCCATGCTACGTGCACCCCTTGAGATTCAACACAAACATATCTTTGCAGAACATTGTCAGTAGGAGAAAGACTCCCAGAAAGAGCAATGCGAAGAAACGCGGTCGCGGAAAGAACGCGCCCGCGGAAAGAACCGCGGTCGGCCAAACAAACACGTTCGCGGTACAACACGCATTCGCCAGAAGAAACGCGTTCGCGGTAAGAATCGCTTTCGCGAAAAGAAAAAAAAAACACGCGTTCGCGCGAACAAACGCGTTCACGAGAAAACGCGCTCGCGGGAAGAAACGAGTTCGCAGGAAGAATTGCGTTCGCGGCAGGAAACGCGTTTGGGAGAAACGCGTTTGGGAGAAACGCGTTTGGGAGAAACGCGTCCACGCGCGGAGCTCCTGGCGCGGGAACCCGGCGCCACCGCCGCCGCGAGCGCGTTTTTTTTTTACACCACGAACGCGTTTCTTCCCGCGATTGCGTTTCTCAAATGCGCTCGCGTTTCTCCCTGCGAAGGCATTAACAGAGAACAGAGAAAAGGGTCAGCAAAAGGAAACAAACAAACAAAACCGAAACGCAACAGACAACCCCTCGAACCGAAGAAACGATTCCAAGACGAATGCGGGGTTCCTGCCAAAAGCGCGAGCACAGAACACGAAAAAACACCGGGCTGGGGCCATCCAGTTTCAAAGTTTCTATGAGTTGTTTTGGCAGAAAAACGCGGCCGGTAAAAAATCGGGCCAGCCTGACCCGGAAAATAAGAAATGCGTTCGCGGAAAGAAACGCTCTGGCGGAAAGGAACGCCCTCGCGGGAAGAAACGTGTTCGTAGGAAGAAACGCGTTCGCGGCGCAAAAAGAAACGCTTTCGCGTTGGAAAGCGCGCTCGCGGTAAGAAACGCGTTCGCGGTAAGAAACGCGTTCGCGGTAAGAAACGCTCGCGGGCAGAACGCGTTCGCAGGAATGAAGGCACAAGGGCAAGCCAGCGCTACATGCTCGAAATCTGGCTGGTGCAAGGGCAGGACAGCGTGACCTTTTTCAAAATCAGGCCGGCATTAGGGTAACGTGATCCTGCGGCCCTTTTTGGGGTGGAAGGTCGGGCAGCATGCGCTCCGTGCCTACCATTTCGCAGGCACGGGTGCGCCACTGGCGACAGTTGGGCTGAGCACAAAACTGCAACAATAAAGCTAAGAAACGCGATCGCAAGGACCTATGCGGAGACCCCAAGAAACTTGCGGGATGAACTATTAGAACAAACAACTTAGAATCAAAAAAACAATCTGCAATCGTTGTTTTCAGCCGTGCGTTTTCTCGTGCTTTGTTGTTTCTCGGTGTTCCCTCAGTCTTTGGTTTCTTTGAATTGTTCAACAAACAAGATGTTTTTTTGGTTTGTGGACATCTGGCCTTCTAGAAAACAGAAGCCCTCGAGGTGTTTGTGAGGGGTAAAGTCCAAAAAACTAAAAAGACTGTGGGACAACCAAAACACGGAAAAACTCGAGCAAACAAGAGAAACAAGGTTTGGGGGGTGAAACCAAAGACTCTCCCCCACAGATTGCTTTTTGTGTTCCATGTGTTTTGCTATATTGTCTTGCTTGGAAACGAGCCGTTTCTTTATTATGTGCACTTGCATGCAGTGAGAAGAGTCAAATCGAGCTTACGTGTGGTTTAGTGTGCTTTAGTTGTTACAAAACGTGGAATGCCCCCCAGAGACCAGAATCCGGTAAGGGGTTTCGCACCCTCACTTTCATGATTCTACATCTTAAGCAGCAGTATACAACTGAACTATGCGAAAGGATTTCGAAAGGCAAAAGGTTGATCATTGGGGAGGCTGGCCATATATATATATATATATACATATACATATACAGGAATGTGTATATATATATATATATGTATTGAATACACACATACTAATTGTGCATATCATGGCAGATAGGAGGAAGGGCTGTGAATGCAAAGCCGAGCCTGTGTTTCCAATGCGAATGCATCCTGGCCTGAAGCGCGCGCTTGCGTGCGGGGAGCAGGACAATAGATTCAAGTGCGTGTGGGTCAAAACCAATGCTACCATTTTGGGGTAGGTGAATTTACCACCCATTCTAGTGTACTTTAGTGGGGATTGGGATCACCGGGGTACGATTTGGATTTTGACCCATGGCCAAGTGGCTGCGAATCTTGATGGGGGACCCTTTGGTGGACATCAGATAGGTGGGATTCACCACTTCGGAGGTGGTTCCTCATGGCTGTGGGTCAAGAATGGGTACACGAAATGGAACCCTGGTAAGTGGAAACATGGACCAAAATCTGCGGTCCCCTGTTGGTTTAATTTTGACCCACACCCTTATCATGTCATAGCCGAGTGAACTTATAAAGGCACTGTCTCACAGCTGCCTGTCTTTTTTCTATTGAATGAGCAAGCAAGAGGTGCTCCCAAAAAAAGCAATGAGCTCCCATCTGATATCGGCCTTTGGCCCAAAGAAGGCTTTTGCAAGGGTGCCCTTGACTGAAGGAAAGCTCTGCGGTGATGTTCGCTGCTTTCATGCTCGATCTGAGGCTAGTGCTTGATTCCTCCCACTGTCGCAGGTCCAATCATGCCAATGTCCTTCTTCTCAGCTTCCTGTGGCATGGCTGCCATGGCTCTCTCAGATACATGCAGCCGCGTCTCGGCAACTTGCGACTGCCAAACCCAAAGCGAGTTGAAACCTTCACTGGGCGGACATGGCACATGCGTTTCCGCATACCGGTCACCAGCTATGTTCTGTTCAACTTCCAAGGGATGGAGGCTTGTCCCCTGGATAGCAACAGGCCAGCTGCCCCAGCTTCGGCATTTTCCTCTCCGCGAGACTCTGCTTTTGGAGCCGAGCTGCAAACGCCTGCACGCCCTCCAGGACGGCACTGCTGAGCGCTCAAGGGCACCAAGGACTCTGAACTTGAACCGCGATGACAGGAACGAAGCTATCTGGATGTTCCAGCTGATGTGCTTGTTTGTTGCGCTCATCTCCAGAAACTATCGGTACCTATCGCAACTCCTGATGCGACTTGCATGAGAAAAGGACTGGTGGACTGGTTCCTCTCGGAAGGCTCCAGGTTCAGTCATCGTGGTTCAAAAAACGTGGAAGCGCCCAGAGCCGTTTTGGGCACCTGGAGCTACGCGGAGTAGTCCACGCTGACTTTCTCCGTCTCATACTCGATAATCTTTCGCCTCAGCTTGAAGGCAAGCGAAATACACTGGGCTTCGTTCCATGCAAGCTCTTCTCATGACAGCCCTCACAGAGATGTGGTCGCCCGGGAACTCTAAACAAAAGGCGGCTCAAAGTTGGGCCTGGGCATTCGATTCCCAAGAGTCAAGCACCTCACCTTCGAAACTGGTGCCCACAAAGCTTCCAAGCACACCATGGGAGCCTGGTGCAGATCCCCAACCACCAGCTTGCAGTTGAGCCAACTTGTCTGGATCCGAGGCACACCCTTGCGCCCTCTCACACACCCTTGCACAAAGTTCAGCGGCTGGGCCTTCTTTTGCCCAGTGTCTCAAGGAACCCTTTGGCGGGGTTCGGGTGCCGAGCCCACCGAACAAACAGGGATTTGGGGTGGAATCCAACACTGGGGCGCTCTGCAGCGGAAACCTCTGTCTCGACATGCGAGAAACCCAAAACCTTGGCGGGCTCCCTCCAGTTTCCCTTTGAACCCACCGCAAACAGGATGGACGGCCTCGACAAAACGGCGCAACTGGAAGTGCGAAGCCTAGGGCGCGGACACCTTCGGGCCCCGGAAGAGCCAGTCCTGGCCACCCGACAGAAAATGAACCGAACGGCTTGGTTTGTTTTGTGGAGATTTGGCGGTGTTGCTGTAGGATTTTCCGGCTTCTTTGGATGTCCACATCGAACAGTTGCTGGCTCCGGGAGACATGACAGGGGTCCCTGGATTCCCCCTGAAAGTTGCAATTTAGGTGAGCTTCAAGAGAAAGCTGGTGATGGATGCTCTCAGCTTGCTTGTGTAGTCTGTTCTCTTGTTTTGACTTGGCCAGTTCCAAGCACGCTTGCTTCACCGGGTGATTGTTTGAAGGTACCCTTTTTGTGACTAAGGGGAAACCAAACGAAACCACCCGGGGTTGGAGACAAATCTCGGGGCGGGGATTTATTGGCCTCGATCAGGACGAAGTCCAAGTCTTCCAAGGAATCAAGCATCTCCATGCACGCCTTCACCTGGGAGCACCCGGGTCTAAGACCGCCGGTTGAAGGATTCCAGGGACTGAACAGTTTGAAAGGGCCGCTCCCAACGTCTTGGTCTCCCCTTGACACAGACCTCTTGGATCTGAATTCTAATCGGGGACCCTTTGGCGACAATTATTTGCCTGGGGGGGGGGGGCTCTGCCCACTTGAAGGGGGGCCTGTGTAACCACGCCCTGTTTGAAGGCGCCCTGGTTGACATTTCAAGGCGTCCGAATCACTTGCTTCTTTGAAGCAGGTCTATTTTGAAGCCACAAACATTCTTATTGCGCCAAGTTTTCGAAAGAGGCGCCGTGTTGGTGATGGGCTTCCCCCTGGTGTTGAAGCTGGTGTTGATGAGCGCCGCCAGGCCCGTCCGCTTCCCCACTGCCAGCAGCAGCGCGTGCAGCCAGGGCTCGTCCGCCTTGCCCACAGACTGGTGCCTGTCAAGCGATTGGCTTGATGAAGGGGGGTGGCTCAACTTGGCTATGGCTCAAAAATGTGGTACCAAAATGGCACCTTGGTAAATGGAACCAAAGCCTAAAACCTGCGCAATGCCTGGCTCTCTTATTTTGAGCCATACCCACTTGGAGGGAAGTGGAGAAACCCTGTGATTTGAGCTTGAGAAATGTCAAGTTGTCAAACAGGGTTTTAGAACCTTAATAAACTACACCCCCACTACTCCAATTACCGTTTGAGTGTCAAAATAGGGGGCCCACCCAAAATGGAGGCTCCTTTCGATGTCCCTGTTAAACCAACGTGAAAGGGGCCTCAAGAAAAGTCACACCCACCCTTTTACCTGCCAGCTGACACGGAGCGTGTGCGCCCGCCTGGCTGTGCCGTCGAAGTGGGCCAAGGCGGGGAAGCGTTGCCTCACCTCTTCTCCTTGGGCTGACGGCGTCGAACCGCGACGGGGGGATTTTGGCAGCTGAAGGGGTCACAGGAGGATAGTATCTATGGCAAGTGTGTTAGCGGGTTAGTAATGGATGAACCCACTTGCCATAGTTGCTAACCACTGGCTAACAAGTAGCTGCAGGGAGTCGGCGTCTCTTTGGAAACATGGGTGGCGCTGCTAATGACTAGATCCAACCCCAAACAGCAGGGAGGTTTCTGCCAAAGGCAGCGGGCAATGTTCGTCGCTGGTCGAAGCTATTGTTTTGGAATAAGGTCACGGCTTGCCATGAAAGCAAACCAAGCCCTCACACCCTGCCCTCCACCACAGCGGGACAGCGAGATGACGATCTGATCAAAGTATTCCGGCAATTGACGCCAATTCTGGAAAAAAAACAAAAAAAAGCCATGGGTAGGCTCGTCTATACTTTACAAAACAAATCATGTGGCAGGCAGCACAATGACCGTCACGAGCTCAAAAAAATCACAAACAAAAAAAGCTCTTCAAAATCCTGAAAGATGATACCCTCTCATCACAGGGGTCTATGTACTCCCATGTTAGTTGGTGGTAGGGTACTTCTTTTTTGTCTTACAAAACAAATCACGTGGCAGGTAGCAAAATGACCCATGCGCTTCAATAGTTTTACAAACCCAAAACTCTTCAACTATCTGAAAGATGAATTGTAAATCGAGCTTAAAATTTTACAAAACAACCTCCCAACCCTTTTTTGTCCCGGGGGCGGACCAGGGGGGCGAACTCCATGTAGGTGGACCGGAACTTGTGCCCAAAGACCTCCTCCAGCGCCTCGTCCGCGATCATGGGCGCCACCGGGCGGTACCACTGCCGGAACTTCACCCGGTTCCTGCGTCCGAAGCGAAGGCTTCGGCGAAAAAAATATATATCCGGTGCGGCGTTTGATTTCTTTTGCTGCGAGGGGCAGGGAATGAGTTGGAATGAACATGGGAATGGACCTGGCCATAGGTGTCCTTTTAGGGCAAATAGATGGGTTTCTCTGGTGGATGATGAAACCACCAGGTAAACCAGGAATCGCCATCGATATTTCTACCAAAACAATCAAAAAGGACACCTATGCGAGTGGCGTTTGGTGCGATAGGCAGGGAATGAGTTGGAATGGACCTGGGGATTCACTTAAAGAAAACCACCAGTTGGATGGTTTATAGGGCTCATTCCCTCATTCCCTGCTGAGGGAATAAGCAAAATGGTTGAAACGTATGCCTGGGAGTTTTGCAGCCCAAAGAAAACTCCATCAAAATGGGATTGGGTGATGCTTTTGAATCACCCAACAAAGATGCAAGGACTGAATCACCAGGCATCGCTGACCCAAGGTGAATTGCGAGATGTGGCTCACTATTTGAAGCAGTGACCAAACAGATCGTGGACCGGATATTCATGACCAGCTTGCTGGATGCTCAAATGATTTAGAACGTGATTGGCTGCTCCTCCACGGTCTGGCTGGGGAAATAAACACAACAGTCCAACAATAAACAAAAAGCCCAAGCCTGCAAACCCTTGTTCACCCAAATGAAGGGATACTCAAGCAGCTTCAGCGCCCTGAACCTGCAATCCACGGGTGCTTTGAGAAAACAAACACAAGAAACGGATCCAACTCCGCCACTCTGCGTCGGGCCGCATCCGTTCCCGCATCTCCACCGAGTCAGGCACCGCCAGCAGGGAGCGATGGCCTAACGCCCGGGGGCCGAACTCTTGGCGCCCGCGCACCACCGCGATGATGGGCTTGTCCTGAGGCTGAAAAACCCGCGTTGCTCCGACGACCCGCCGGCCGGGTCCGCAAAACATCAAACGGCGGTTTTGGACTCGAGCCGGCAAGAAAGCCGGCTAAGCTCTTAACAGCGAACGAGAGCTTCCGCTTGGTCAGGAGACCAAATGCTACCAGTGAAATTCACAACGAAGCCTATATGGTTTGAGATCCAAAAGCTGCAAACCAGATTCTACCAAGAGTGAAAATCGCAGATCCTGTGGGAGAAGCTGCTTTCCAAGGCGCTGCCTTGCGGTTGGGATCCCTCTGCCAGGCCGGCCCACCCGCCAGAAGCTCTGCCAGGTATTCCACCCCGCCCAGGGCCGACAAGCGCTGGGCGCCCCGCGTCCGCGCCTCCTGTTACGAGAGGCGTATGACTTGATTCTGGGTTCACATGAGTATGGGGCAAAATTCAAGCACTGGGGGACCGCAGGTTTTGGTCCACGTTTCCATGTGCCAGCGTTTCATTTGGGGGTACCCTACTTTTGACCCACACCCGCATTAATTGCGGGCAATCAATAAAGGTCAACACCTTTGTGAGCCATCGGCGCTGAGTGCCCCATCTGGGCATGGGTCAAATTAATCCACCAGGGGACCGCAGATTTTAGTCCATGTTTCCATTTGCCAGGGTTCCATTTTGGGTAACCCTACTTTTCCCCCACAGCCATCTCCTGGTCCAGGGTGTCCATGTCCCAAAGCCGAAAGCCCAGGTACTGCAGCGGCTGTTGCCTCGTGGGGGGATA